CATAGTATAATGACTAGAAGTGGGATGGGTGGATTTTTATATGTCTTTCATCAAAACCATGATACTCTCCCATATCATACCAAATGAAAAATATCATTCTTTACATGTGTGTTACACCCTTAAAAGCAATGTCAGTTATCGACATTTCTAGTTCACAAGCTCATGTTAGCAGAGATGACTCCAGGCGCATGAACAAAGAACACTGAAAGCAAAAATTCAGGTATTTTCTTTATGTGATCAACAACATGAACTTACACGAATTCCAAAAGACAGATTTTCATGATATTTTAGACATATTAGCTACTTAAATCTTGTAGATACTGGACTTGGCAAATATTATTTCTTTTACAGATGTCTGTGATAATGATATGCATGTTTCTGGTGGCGTGGTCCCCTTACTCCATCGTGTGCTTATGGGCTTCTTTTGGTGACCCAAAGAAGATTCCTCCCTCAATGGCCATCATAGCTCCACTGTTTGCAAAATCTTCTACATTCTACAATCCCTGCATTTATGTGGTTGCTAATAAAAAGTATGTGATGTCTAAAATGCTTTTGAATTAAAACAATTGATAAAAAATGCTTACAGGGCATGGAAAATGTTCTAAGAGTTTTCAGGAAGTGACAGAAACTTACTTCAGTCTGGACTGCTATACCTGGAGCAGAATCTAGGTCCTTAAATGTGTAGAGCTCGAGATTTGTGACACACCCTTCCCACATGGTGGCAGAGATGATCATGGGCAACCCAAGACCTACATGTGTCAGCTAAGCTTCCCCAAGTGCCAGCTTCGTCTCAGATGTTCTCTGCTGGAAAAGACCCTTGGTGGGGGGGGGGGTCATTGGTACAAATGGGTATCCTACCCCAAATACATGGAATAGAGGCTTCCAAAAAAAAAAAAAAAAAGTAACTGTATTACTAGAAAATGGACAGGGCAATATTGGGCTCCTTTAATTGGGAGCATAGTTAGATATTTACCAAAAAGAAGATATATTCAAATGCAAGAGAAAAATCTAGTGCTAACATAAAAGGCTTTAGGAGTGGGTTGTCATTCAGGATAGTAGAGAATCTCCCTTCTTCCCTTTTGTGGGACCTTCAGCAAAGAGTCCCTTTGCTGCCTCCTCAGCGAAACTTATATTATTTCATTTCTCATGACTGCTGGAAAAATGGGATGAATCAATGTACTATGCTTAAGTATTTGGCCAGAAATTCTCAGTAGAGGTCAAGTAATTTGATCATGGGATGACAATGTTGCTTCTATTAAACTTGTATATTTACGCACACATGTGGGGGAGCAGCTTTAGCTATCGGTATGTGAAGGAGCATAAACCTTTTGAGACCAAATGACCAAATAAGTAGTATAAAGAACCAGAGTTTGCTGGTAGCTCTTTTGGAAACTCAATCACTCTCAAGCCCCCTTAATTTCAACTGGCCTTTGCTTGGAAGAATGGATGCATGAAACACCCATTTTTAGTTCAAAAAATAAGTCACTATTTAACAGTAGAAGTGTCATTTTAAACACATATAATAATAATTATCATTTTCTGCTTTACATGTTCTTTTTCCATTTCAGATTAATATGAAGGTACAAACAATTTTGTTACAAGGTTCGCACTAGTTAGATAAGGTCCCTGTTGTAGTTGTGTCCCACTCCTGGGAGGTGTGCCAAATATCCTTACTTGTGCCCATTGGGTGGGACCACACCAATCCCGCTCCCATTTTCCCCCTTCCCCCCTTGAACTGAAGAGAGTTTTTCTCTTGTATACACACATAATTATTGATTTTTATTAAATGTCTTCAATGTTTATAATCAATGTTGCAAAACTGGCCTTTAACTGTACTATATATTCTTTACATTTATAAAGATTATCAACAGGAATGTTAAAGTAGGAGGCAGAGATGTCAACTGGCATTGTTGAAAATGTCTTTAGTTTCTGGTTACTATAGTTTAATGCCGGATTTTCTCTTTTTTATTGTAGGTTTCGGAGGGCAATGTTTGCCATGTTCAAATGTCAGACTCACCAAGCAATGGCTGTGACAAGTATCTTACCAATGGATGTATCTCAAAACCCACTGGCTTCTAGAAGAATCTGAAATGAGAGAAAAGCACACCTAATCAAAACATTTTATTTGCCTTGCTTTTGCAGTATTGTAATTTTATTTTACATATGAGCCCATTTAGATCAAATGCAGACGTAGATTGTTGTCCGATTGGGCTGTAAGTTTCTCAAGTGCAGTTTGTGGTTCTTCTTGTGCACTGGTTGCTGTAGTGAGTGTTTCTCTGTATCTTTCTATATAAACCTACACTCATCTCCTCTGATGAGCCAGGAGAAAGTAAGGTAAGCCAGGAGAAAGTCTCTCTCCTTTCTCCCTAACATGGCATGCATTACGCTGTATCGATGGCCTGTAACTTACCTGGGTCTTTCATTAGACTAGAAGCTACTAGACTATTTCGTTAGAATAAATTAATAATAATGATGATTAACAATCCTCAATAAATAATTACTGAAGTGGGTTATTACATGTTCCCATTTAGAATAGAAAAAGTTTTTAGCATTTCAAATTTTTTTTTTTTTGAAACAGAGTCTCACTATGTTGCCCTGGGTAGAGTGCTGTGGCATCACAGCTCACAGCAACCTCCAACTCTTGGGCTTAAGAAATTCTCTTGCCTCAGCCTCCCAAGTAGCTGGACTATAGGCACTTGCCACAATACCTGCTATTTTTAGTTGTAGTTGTCATCATTGTTTATCTGGCCCAGGCAGGGTTCAAACCCACAAGCCTTGGTGTATGCGCCTGGCGCTGTAACCACTGTCCTATGGGCACCGAGCCTCAAAATTTTTTAATTTTAAATTAATTATAAACTTAAATTATTAAACAAAATAATTGAATGAATAATCAAACATTAAACATTTTTGCTTCTAAATTACATGTTAGTTGATACACATTGTTCTTTTGTATTTTTTTTTGTTTGTTTTTTGAGATAGAATATCACTCTTTTGCCCTGGGTAGAGAGCAGATGGCATCATAGCTCACAGCAACCTCAAACTCTTGGGTTTAAGTAATCCTTTTGCCTTAGCCTTCTGAGTAGCTGGGACTATAGG